TGTGTGTGTGTGTGTGTGTGTGTGTGTGTGTGTGTGTGTGTGTGTGTGTGTGTGTGTGTGTGTGTGTGTGTGTGTGTGTGCGCGCGCACCTATAAATACCTGCACCAAACTCATTAGGTTTCTGAACTAGTACTCAGTGTGACATCACAAATGGTCCGGAAGGACTTCTGTCCTGAAAGTGTATGTCAGTCAAAATCTGGACTAGCAACTTGTGTATATTAAAGACAGACAATGAAATGTATTTATTTGACATAATCCATGCTAGTTTTACTCCAAGTAATAATACTCAAAGCATACTACAGTCCCAGTATGTTCAAAAGCCTAATCTTATTTTTAAAGTGTAACTACTTTGATCTAGACACCCGAGTTACATTTTCACCCACAAAAATCTAAATTATTTAACTGCTCTTTGGCTGACGTCTTTAATAAATATACAGAATGGAATCATCCCTGTGATTTCAAGCTGAACTCAGTTGAAGTACTAGTACTCCTACACTTAAAACTATAACTGTAAACATCCTTTCCATGTAATGCCAAAACCACACTTGAAGTGTTGGTTCACATCATCTTAGAGATGTGTAACTATTCCTAATTTACCTTCTTGATCTGCTAGCTATTACTAAATATTTTCTGGGCAAATAGACAATCATACAGCTGTATGTACAAGATCCTCATGCTCAACCAGTACACCCCAGTGCTCTATGTGGACTGCAGAATCCTATGTTAGTTAGGAGAGAGACTAAGCCACTGCTTTTTTTTATTAAGTAGTCTTAAGTGTGGGAATCAGTTTATCCTAAAATGATACCAACGTCCAACAAAAATGAGATCTGAATATCTGTATTTGTTCCATGATAAACCAAAACCAAGATGTTATGCTCAGTAATGTTCATATTTTGCTTGACAAGGGTAGTTTAATTTTTAATTAACTGGATGGCTCTGATCACCAGCTAAACATCTTTCCTCAGAGTCTCCCAACTGGGATGGAAAAACTATTAAGTGTCCAGGTCTGTAGCCAGAGTAAACAAGCATTAGTTCATTGATTTAAGATGTCCATTCACTTCTGTGTAAAGTTAAATGAGCATCACTGAATTTTTTTTAGTCCTATTTAAGCTTTTGAATTGCCAAGAGTTAATATAAATAGTCTTACTGTTGCCTTCTGGTTTTAGTGCCAGACTAATTTTTATTGGAAAGGCACTGACTCCAATGATTTACAGCAGATGAGAATCTCACCTGAAGTATTTTCTGTGCCTTTTAAGATAGGTAAGCATCTTAATGCAATTTCAGTAACTATGGCTCTACCTAATACTGTAACATTTGCTGTGAAGTTTGTCACTCAAACATTTTCTTTTAGTAATATGTTCCAGCTTCTGATCATTCCCTTCAGCTCTTCTTATGTACACCTAGTATTGTGTGCCATCTCCACTTTGGCACTATTCTGTAATACAAGGTGTCTCTCTTTTTGCCAAGCAGTTTCTTGCTGAGTTAATATTTTACAGGTCTCCAATAGATAGTCTGACACATACCTCTCCTTTTTATTTTAAAAATCATATCTTGTTCACAGCCCAAATTAGGTACTCAATAGTATGCACGAAACTTCAACTGAACATTAAGGTAGTTAATTCAGTTATTTAGGGCAAAAGCTTACCCTGAATAATTAACTAAATTCAGTACATACCTTACCTCCTTTGGAAGTGAGCTAGGATACCATTCTCACTATGTCTAGGCCTCCCTTTCCTTGCTCAGTAACCGTTTCATTAAACCTCAAAACATAATTGTCCCATCTATCTGTTCACAGACACTGCTTTTGTGCCTGCATATCATCCCTTTCCTCTCTAGAACCAGCTGTAAGTTTTCTGCAGAATGGTTAGGAGATGAAGGTAGAACCACAGTCAATGGTACCCTCAGTCCACAAACTTTGACTTTTGCACAGAAGAGTTAGGCAGTATTAATCTCTGCTGAGTACTGTCAACAGGAACGTGGACACGAAGTGACAGCCAGATGCTCTCTAGGTATAGGATACAAACAGACTGCTTTTGTTGCAGCATCAGTTGCATCAGGATGCACAGCTGATCTGACTGATCAGCAGAAAAAGATGGCATTGTAATCATTATATTATAATAAAACGTTCATTCACAAGGACAAGTATGCTTATGAGATGCAGATTCCATGAAAACATATCAATGCCTTTTTTTTTCCCCCACGAGGCACCACACCAAGTGTCAGGACTGTTTTCCACTTATGATGTGTTTTATTAGCTTTTTCAAAATGCTGAACATAAGGTTGTACAGTTAAGCACTGAAGGTTTCATGCCAACTTTCCTATTTCTCAGCTTAACTATGCACCCTTTTTCTGTACCCCAGTGTACATGCAGTGATAATCCTATTTAATTGGTGGTTGGATGACCACCTTACTGGGGTCGTTTGACCCTAGTACTCTTTCCTGCCATGGCAGGGGGTCGGACTAGATGATCTGCTCAGGTCCCTTCTGACCCTAGTAACTATGAAACTAACTATAACTATAAAATTATAGAAAAGAAATGCATTAAATTAATATAATTTTCTACTTTGCATTACTATGTGTAGCAGATAGCATTCAGGAGAATAACTATATCGGAGGCTCTCAAACTGTGGTCTGCTGACCACCACTGGTCCGTGAGAGCTCCATTCAGGTGGTCCACAAAAAGGTGATCTAAGGCTAAAGCTGACAAACATTACACCCTTCCTAGAACTTAGCTCAGAAAAACAAGCACATCCATTGCATTAGAAAGGTAAAACTACTGATACTAAAATATGAGTTTTGTGCTTTTGATTTGTAGAACAAACAAATGTATTAAGTGGTCCGCTGAGACCCTCAGCAATTTTCAAGTGGTCTGCAAAAAAAAAAGTTTGAGAACCACTGAACTAGATCATATGTTGATGCTGTATCTTCCATGCCAGAAGGAAAAAAAACTCCCTTAAGAGGACAGACTCAAACTCCCTTGCAGTACGGAGCATGTCAGTAGCAGAGCAAAACCTTAGTGTCTTCTAATGATCTTCAGCTGGTATGAAGCACTAGTGGTCTCTCCCCACTTACAGAGATTCTGTGACAGCAGCAGCAACTCAGATGGACATAGATATTGATCTTTATATACAAACTATTAGCAGTGTGATAAAACTGAATTTTAGCAAGCAATCCAAATCAATACAGGCATGGACTGTACAGTCCCTCCTTCTTATGCGCCAGGCAATTTTTATTATTTAATATGCAAGCCTCTGGTATATTTCACTTCCATGGAGACTTTTCTACTACCTCATGTTTGGAAGAGAAATAATCTTCACTTTGCATATGCAAACTTGCTTGACGCTATTCAGTGTTAACTGAATAACAGAGAACCAAAATCACTGGTTTTGAACAATGATGTGCAACTTTTGCTCCTGACTATACTGAAACTGTTTCAATTCGAGACTTAATAGGTAAAGTACTTAAAAGTTTTCACTTTTTTTCCTAGAATAAGTTAATACTAGAGAGGTATGGTTAGGTTCAAATATGCCTCTTAAATTCCTGAGAGATATAGGACAACACGTCTTAACTTTAGTTTTATTATCTTGTTGAGCGACATTCGCGTTAGGCACCTGGCCCACATATCAATAGTTGTGTTGTGTATTACTTCAGACATTACTATTTGCTGTACCTAAAAAATTAATAAAACAGATTACAAGAGAATTATGGTGTTAGATGCCCAAAATATGACCCAATTTTTCTTCTTACCTGTTCAAAATGTTGGTGGACTAGCAAAAAAATGAAAAGCCTCAGCTACACAAGATACAGTCCAAAACAGTTCAGAGACTTAAATCTCAGAATGCATCTTATAATTATTCTTAATTAACTAGATGACATAAGACTACCATTTAAAATTAATAATAATTTCAATGTAACCCTTAAGGGCAATGCTGTTAATGTAACTATAGTTATCACTTTACAACTTAAGTACCTGAATCATGATACAAGATAAAAATTTACAAACGTTGTAATGGGAACTTAAAATATCTTACCGCCAACATCTATGAAGTGCTTAGCAGCTAAACCAGAACGTGGAGCTAGAAAATAAGAAAACATTTCCCCCAAATTTAAGAGCCTTTCCAACAGTGAGCTTTAATATACATTCTATAGAGGGCAGATTGCTTAAAACCATCAACCCTATCGTCTTCATAAGCTCTTTTTAAATTCCTTATAAAACCAACATGTTGTCCTACAAATTTTGCAGCAAGTGGTTGCAATATGTTTTAAAATAAATATGTATCAATAGCTTCAGGCTACAGTAAGACTGCAGTTTTTAAACCAATTGCATGCATCACTGTTTAAAGTAACTAAAATCCTGGTGTTACCCTCAATTATCACTAGAAGGCGGCTATATCAGATGACCATTTAATCATTAGCTTTTGAGATTACCATTGAAAACCATTTCCATATTAGACCCAAACAAAAAAAAACACAAAAATACAATGTATTTTAGTTGCACAAGACATTATTTACAGTTCTATGTAAAACTTAAATCCTGGTGTAGCCTGCAGCTAATTAACAGTATTTACTCAATAGGTGCCAATATAAATTAACTATAGGACAGGTTTTGATTGGCTTCAGGCCTCTTTGTTATGGCCTGTAGCATAATTAGGGGTGGGCAAGCACAGCACCAGCCAGAATAGTGACCTTTGTGGCATGGCTGTATGAATGCTGGACTAGCAGCAACAACAACAACAACAACAACTAGGGATGAGTTGAGTTGAGTTCACTGTAGCAACAGTTAGGAACTTGCCGAATCTCCAGCTCAGGTAATGCTGATATATCTCCCCTCACATATACTGCTAGGTAGGATTTTGCCCTAGGCACAAAACTTGCTAGTTACATATATGGCTATAACTATTAAATTTGGCTTAAGAGCTTCACTTCTTAAGCTTTACTAGGATATGTGAAATATAGTTTCCATTCTTTTAAGTTTTTGTAGTAAGGGAACACTGAAACTCTGGTCACATCTTTATCTTGGGATGGCTGCTGGTCTTAATTTTGTTGCGTAATTGAGCAAGTTATACCCATATCCCCAAACAGGCTCCCTTCCTCCCTGTATGATTATTACATTGTGCATTTTTTTAGGTTTACAAAGACTTAAAAAAATGGCAGCACAAGCCTCAACTCCCCTAGAGGGACCACTCCTAAACAAGAGTTATTTTAGTCAATTGTAATTTAATCATTGGCCTTTCTTGACTTTAACAAAAGGATTTTTGTTCCAACTATTGAAACTCTTTAGAGATGCAGCAGCAAACTGAAGCAATAACTTACCTTCTTTATCATTATCTAAAGTACCACAAGTATTTTAAGAGAGAGAATTTGCTATTTCCTACCCTGTACTTTGTTTTACAGGAAACGTGTGTGCAGAACTTAAAAGTAATTACTTTAGTTTCGAAAACAAAAACCCTAAGATTGACTGACTAAAATCATAAGTTCATTTTCCATGTTTATAAACTACAACCAGACTTAATCTGCACACCATAATGGGAATAAACTACTGAATATTAATAGTGTGACATTCAACAGTATCAAAATAATTAACTTAACCAGGCTAGATTTGTGTTAAGTTAATGTAGTACCCAGAAATGGTTTGAAAAATGTTTGAAAAAAGGTTGCATTATGTGCAACCAATTAAGTAAATTGACCCTACTTTCTGTGCATGATTTTGAAATAATCAGTTAATTTTCTAAGAGACATTTCTCTTTAATAAGATAGATCAGCAGGTAGAGTCTACAGATGAGAATCCCTTTTCTCCAGGTAAGTCTAGGATGTATAACTGGTACTGGGTGTGCTACTGACATAATCGGGTTTAAAGTTTCAGCTGAACGTTAGTTATAAAACATGGTTAGGTCCCTAAATAGATTTGTCCAGAAATGGCTTCTCTCCACAGAAGTGCAACTATGACTTCCCTGTAGTTGCATAACGTAGCATGTAGTTAAATTAGGTATTAACTCTTCAGACTTGTCTGTGGACAGGTTGCACAAGAACTCCCTGGAATTCACAGTATTATATTAATAACTCAAGGTATAACAGATTACAAGAAGTCAGGTAGGTATTTTGTAAGTGCTTATCAGCTGTTGAAATGCATTTGATTCTACTACTTAAGTCTACACTTAAAATAATTTTCTATGCATGTTCTCCAACAGCTCAGATTACTTATCCACTCTTATGGTCAAAATATTTTGTTTTGTCAAGTGATATCAACCAAACCGTCAAGATTTCTCAACAGGAGATGCCACAATTAGCAAGTAACCTCCTAATTGTTTTCCTGGGCTTATAGGGATGTAGTTTGAAGAGGAAGATTACAGAAATGGGGTTTTGACATAGTAATTGCATCAATTAAAGCTTTTCTGGAAACTAAGTAGCCACTCAGATGTAAAGGTTGAATCTACTTAAAAATCAATAAAGAAACGGACATTAAAATTAATGAAATTTTGTTGCACGGACTAGGTCCTGTGGCAAGCTACAGGAATAACCATTGCACGCTTTTCTTCAGTCTAACTTACCTACTCGGCCATAACATCCAGATGGGAGGGAAATCTGAATATCAGTTTTAACTATAGCCTTTTCCATAGGAGGAATCACACAGTCATAGGCACTAAATTTAAAAACAGATGCATGTTAAAATGAAGAACGTTTTAAATACCATCTTTGTAAGTCAATGATCACCCCCACAGAAATCCATAATTAAACCAGGTAAAGATGGGGAAAGAACAACTACTACAGTATCAAGAGAGATGGGTAGTTATGTCAGTCTCAAGTTGGGCAGTAAATGATGCAGGTCACTCAGAAGCATAAGTTTTTGTACGCTACAGACTGCTTCCTCAAATGCTGACTGGGCTTGGAGAAAATGGGTACTAAATGGAAAGGAATGAAGTCACTGAAACACTAAGGGGGAGAAAAGGAAGAGACTGCTCAGACTAATATTAGTTATACTGGAGCACCAAATTTATCTGGCCCTGTAGGCCAGATGAGTGATGTGGGGCTGGATTGGACCAGCCCTGCATTCTGGATCTGGAGCGCGCGTAGTGTGCAGCGCAGTTCTGCTCCAGCTGTGCTGTGTGGCACCCTGTCTAGCATGGCCCCACAACAGCATGTGACTACTTCCAGGCTGTGCTGCACATGGGGGCTGCATCTCTGACACCCTTGAGTTATGTTAATACTATGGTATTACTTTAAGGGCTGTCTATACTTCTGCAAAACTGAAAATAAATACTAATAAAGGTCCTGCTACATGTTCAAATTGGAACTGGATAGAAACCAGGTCTGGCTTTGTTACACATTTTCTAGCACTAACTTCAGAGCTAGTTGGCTCTTTTTACAGGTCCTTTGTCATTTTTGTCCTGTGATAATTACTCTGCACCTGTGGCTGGTCTACATTTATAGCCCAGTTCACCAGTTGTATTGCATGGTTCACTAGTGAACTGTGCCACTTATGCAACATGTAACAGGGACCTCAGACATGGCAAATCCTGATGCTGGCAGTGCCGATTTTTGAAATCTCTCAGACTCCAACTATTATAAAACTCAGGCTAACGAATGGAGGGGCATCACCCAGGGCACCATGAAGGCTGCTCAGTTTGGGGGGAAACTGAGAGGCAAGCGCCATGTGCAGCAACGCAGAGCCTCGAGCCCAGCTATTGTGCGTAGGTGCCAATGACATTGTGAAGTGACGAAGGTTGTCACTTGTGCTGATTTATTCTTAATATCTGCTGTTGTGCTCCTTCCTGCACGACAAGAAGCCTGCTGCAGGTAGACAGTGTGATACAGAGCTCAATTCCCGTAGCTGCGCACAGCCTTATCCTGCCAGCACAGGGGGGAGAAGGGGGATCCTTAACTGGGGGGGACGTGTCTCACGAGATGGGGAGGGTTTCACTGGAGGGCCGAGGGGGGAGGCCTGGGCCTGCGGGAGGACCCCCTCCAACACTTACCTGTACAAGTCGTAGCCGGCGGCGCGGGCCGAGCCGCGGGACGGGGTGAACGCGTTCTCCGACAGCTTGGCGAAGCGCAGGCGCATAGCAGCCTCTTCGGGGCCCGCGGCCCTAGGCCGCTTGCTGGGGGACGCAGCGGGCGCTGGTTGCGAGCACGGCATGGCGGGCAGTGAGCGCGGGACAGTGGCCGATTCCCGCGCGCGCCGTTCGAACCGCTCGTCCCGCCCCGCCCCAGTGGTGCAGACCACGCGGCAGGGCCGTGGGAGCCACCTGCTTCGCGTGCTGCATGGAGGACCGCCCCCGCCCCCCCCGCGCCGCAGAATGGACTCTCCCGGCCCC